TTTTAATTTGAGTGGGGGGTGTCATATGGAACTCTTCTTACCTTTTCGCCAATTTCGATTAGATTTTAAGATTTTCTCTCCATTATTATGTGGCTGCTGCTAACCCATGTCAAATACACGTGATAATGTTAAGTTCTCATTATATATTCTTATTACTGCTACATAATAAATTATGCAAATATCCGTATGCGACAGAGTATAGGGATTTAGTCTACGTGGGTCTCTCTCTGATGTATTAGGCCAGGCATAGCCAAGTGGTTAGAGTGCTCGACTCGCGAGTTCGAATCCCCGTTCGCCTTTTCAGCTTTGAGGGCGTTATAAAATTGCAATCAATCCCACTATTCGTTGGTAAAAGAATAGCCCGAGATTTGTCGGTGGGTGGTGATGACTAGCTAGCTGTCTTCCCTGTAGTTTTTCACTGCTAAATTGGGGACGGCTAGCGTAGATATTCCTGTGTAGCTTTTCGCGAAATCCAAAACAAATCAACCTCTATCTAGTGTGGGCCTTAAATTAGGTTAAAATGCTAAGCGCAGGTACAACACAGGTCTCTTCACCCCTCCATGACACAGAATGCAAGTTTGAGCTTAATTTGGACATAATAATGTTGCAACGAGTGGAGTTTGAATAAATATGATACCGAAGTCCGTAAATATTTAGATTTGTATCTGCGCAGACCTTATCCGTGAGCTAATCACACAACTAAGCCTATTCGATATAAAAATGACGCTTACGTTTGATCACACAATTAAGCCTATTCGATATTAAAATGACGCATGTTGCAACCTGCGTATGAAATCAAACAGTCCAGGTCTGAGTCGAATACTTTAAAAATGACTGGGAAGAACCTTATCAATAGGTGGCCAAAGTGAGTTATGGTTAGAGGAACTGTTGGTAGAGGGAGATATAAAATAAAGCTCCTAAATTCACACCGGAGATTATTTAAAAAGAAGCTTGTTTGGCAAGGTTAACATAGTTATACAAAGTTTTTCGTGGAGCTTTTTTTTTTGTCAGAAACTGTGATGGTATGTTGTTTTATGTATTTAACGGTGTATCCTAACGTAATAAGTAAGAAAAATATATTTGTTTGTCAATATTCGTTACCAGGTTCTTTTTTTTTTTCTTTCTATCTAAGTTGGTAGTTTATTCTGTCGGAAGTTACTATTAATTATTCGATGACGAGGAACCCACTTTGAGATTAATAATGGCTGGAGACGGCTTGAATGGGTAATGAAGAAAAACTTTAATATACCCCTGATGATGACAAAACCTTGTGAAAACGTTGTACATTTG